GGGGGGGGGAAGAGAAAAACAAGGGGAGGCGAGAGGACGAGTATCTAGGTCTGTGTAACGATTTTTAGAGCCTCGACCCTCCGATCGTTCGGGCCATAAAAAACTTGAGGGACCTCACAGTAGTCGGAGAGCCCGTGTGCCAGGGTTTCCATAGCGACGAAGCCCTTTCGCTCTTCGCCCGCGGGCCCCCCATCTCCCCCCTCCTCCCCCCATCCCTCGCTTCGTCCTGCTCTGCGGTAATCTACCGGCTGCCGTTGCCGCCACCCTTAACGCGTTGTACCGGCCTCGAATCCCGGAGATATACGTCGCAATACGAGCACGACACAGCCGAAGAGCCGATGGAAATCGCCCAGAGTCGATCGTTCGGTTAAATTTCTCGCCTTTTTATATCGCTTCGAAAAAAAAAAAGCTATAACCCTTTGATCCTTCAATATAGAAGAAATCCCCTTCTAACGGGGGTGGATGCGAGGGTCAAATCGCAAAATTCTCTTCGAGGAATTATGGTGCGGATTTAGGTTAAAAGAGAGTTGTTAGCTAAACGCACAAGGAATACGCACGGAATGATTCTCAGTAAATCTGAAGGACGTCTTTGTCGTATATCAATTTTAATATTATAATATACAAAAAGACATTCGAATCAACAGAGAATTATTATTTTTTTTTTTTTTTTTTTTTTTAATGGGGGTTTTATATATTGTAGATAGCTTATTAAATGTTAATTTTTTTTTTTGGAAGCGGAGTTTTCGTAAAGAATACAGTGGGTCTTCGAAATATCTCTTTGAATTTATACGAGACGAGGGCATTACATACTTTCTCTCCGCTGTATCATCGGTGCGTCAGTTCTTTTCTAGGGATACAAAAATAAATCGCGAGTTTTGGGATGCCTGACCGGTTACTCAGGCCATTTAGTCATTCCTCTTATACCGGGTATACCGGGTATCACGCAGTCACGAGAACTCATCGTTGGGCACTGTCCAGATCACGAATTAGATCGTAAAAGAGAAGGATGACTCTCCGCTCTCTTGTAGGAGCACGGAAATAAACGCGTTAAGTAATGATACAAATGTATGGGGGTAGCGCGAAATAACCGGAATTGGACAGCGAATAAATGGCGAATTTTTTTTTTCAGGCGAATTAAATCAATATTCCGATACGATATTCCGAAAATCCAGGCAGCATTCATAGCAATGTAAATTAATTATAATTGATTGTACTTTGTTTTTTTGTCCTGTGATAGATAACATAATTTTAGACACCATAACGTATTAGCATTCTTTTATAATTATATTAATTCGATATGCTAGAGATAAAAAAAATAATGGATACTCAAAGTAACGATTGTTATATTATTAGAGTTATAATATATCGATCGAGAATTAAAATATTATACGGCAAATTAAACTCTCGCTAATAAATAATGCAATATCATAGTTAATTTCGGTATTGAAAATTTCACGAAAGAAATATCCATCTTAAATCTTAACGAAGAATATAAGTATTCGTTTTGTTCCTTCGCTGACACTCGTACGTGAATCGAAAGTTAAATTCACACGGGCGATGTGTCGATGATACGATCATCGTTCTTCAACGTCTTTGTAGCCGTTTGACATTGTGTTCGCGCTGCATAATCCGCAGGTGCGACAAGATATAATAGGGTATAAAAGGGATAAGCAAAAAAAGTACACGTTTAGCCGATGTGCCAAAGGACTGATCGGCTGATTTCTACGCGAAGTCACGACCCGTGTATGTAGCCAGACGTAATCAAAAACATACAAGATATGCAAGCTGTGCGACACACAATCCTGTATCAACACACTTTCTCTTTCTCTCTCTCTCTTTTTCTTTTTCTCTCTATTTTATTGGTACAAACTAATTTTTATAAATTAATTTGTGTGATGGTTCATAACAAATTCATCAAGCATGGAATAAATTAACTCTGCGTGGGAAAATATTTTCGCATTTTATTAACGAAAGTTATATCGCTTGGATATATATATATATTGGAGCAAAATGCGCGAGAAATAAATAAAAAGCTCATCTGAAAATGCACCAACTTTTTATGCGTGCGCGTAACACAAGCACGAAGAAATAAACTATAAAAAAAAAAAAAGAAATGCTATGTGAAACAACGGGAGGGGAAAAAAAAGGCCGACAAGTGGTCAAAGAAGGTATCTCCCTCCTTTCGATCCGGTCGAACGGAGCAATGCTCCGATTTCTGTTTGTTGTAAACGAAAGGTAGCGCGAGATGGTGCACGAGAGGATACGAAGGAAAAAAAAAAAGGAGCACGAGGAAGAAATGGGGAAGGTGGCTGCGCGCACGGTTGGAATAGTTAAAAATAACTCTGACCGCGAGGATCCTGCGGTTCCTGTAAACACGAGCTCAAGCATGGCAAAACGAATACGGCGCTGATCGCATACTCGCGTGTGTGAACCGGTGATACGAGAGGGATTTTGGCGAGAGATGGTGCGGCGAAAGTACGTATCTCATTCAGATGAATTTGAGGGCTCAAACGAGAGATGGTCTTATGCTTTGTGTATAAAATGTAAAATCTTTTAAAATACTGAGACAAGTGTTTTCAATAATTTTCTTTGTAATAAATGAATAAAGTCAAAATTTATAATATTTGATAGATATTTAAGATTTTTAATATATCTTTTCTCGCTCTCCATATATTGAATCTTTATATTTCATAAATATGTTTATGGAAATATAATATAAACTTTAACCTTGTTAATTAATAGCAATCTATTCGATTTACAGAGCTGTCCAAAGGAATGATGTGTATTTCTTAATTGTTTTGAATATAATTAGACTGTTCAATATTAAAAGAATGATTCTCTCTTTATACATGTATATATTTTTTATTCTGCATACTAAAAATTTGTAGGCAAAATTTTATAAGATTTTGAAGACTACTCAATAATACGTGATATAAGAGTTAAAATTTTTGTTTTTTTTATGAAAAAAAATCTTTGGTTTCTGAATAAAATAATATTCTTTTAACACATAATAACTTTGAACACAATAATATTCTCTTAACACACATACACATTAAGCAAGACATCTATTCAGTTTAAGTATTATCTGTACTCACGTGCTTCCATAGAGGTATCTTGAGTCAGTGGTGGACGTTGCGTCGTCGTCGTCGTCGTCGTCGTCGTCGTCGTCGACGATACGTACGAATCTTCGACGTCGTGCGCGACGGTTACCTTGACCTGCTCCTCGTCGCTCTCCTCGTTCTTCGGTGAGTTTCGCTCGGAATTCGCGCGCACTCTTACACGCTCGGCCACCTGCACATCGTCTCCGGAGAACGCCAACCGCGACGATGACATCGGCCCGGCGACTGTCGTCGTAGTCCACTCGATGACACTATCACCACCAACTACGACCGCACCATTATCCTTGTTCCCCACGAGCACCAACTCCCTTCCGCTATTATTACCATCCTTCACCCCGTCCTCAGTCACTCCCTCGACGTCATCTTTCTCGGTGCTTCCGGTTCGTTGAGTAGCACCGAGATACGCGATGTCCCGCGTGGTCGTTCTCGTCGCCACCGTCGTTGTCGTCGTCGCCGTTGTTTTCGAAGCGCTCTCGTGAAGTAGGATATCCCGCAGGGAATTCTCCGGGCGCAATATCGAGTCTCCAAACTTGAAGACGGGTTCTAACAGCGGAGAGATTGTTCGGACTATTGGGCGAAAGCCATCGTCGACGGACGGTGCGGATTCCAGCTTGCGAGATTGTAGAGAGTGTTCGTCAATACGTCGCCATGCCTCCGGCCAGAAATTGATGAAGTTCGGAGAGGATTGATCTTTCAGCTTCGATCTCTTGCTGATTGGTACTCGTTTAGCTCTTCCTCGTCGCGCTGCGATCTCTTCATCCTCGTTGTCACGATCCGGTATCAGAGCTGAGAGATCTTGATGCCTGACGATGACAATATTCAACGGCGCACTCGATAATGATGGAGACGATAATGACGACGACAACGACGACGACGACAGCGGTGGCGTTAACAATAGCGGCGATGTTAATGATAGAGACGACGTCAATAGCAACGGCGACGCGGACGAAGACGAAAGAAGACGCGTCGTCAGCGTAGCAAGATGATCCAGAGTTCTTTGATTCGCGTGACCTTCGGAACCGATTTCGTTAAGGCTGGACGCGCACTTCCGCCTGCGAAACAGACGCGAAGCGAACGGCTGATCGGATGTTCGCGATGGCAGATGAATAGATGCAGTGGCGTCGGCTGGATGGAGGCTGTCCAGCGGCTGGGTTATCACCGGCGCGGCCGTTGTCGCGCGCGTTAGATCGTCGAGGAGAGCAACAACGAGAAGAAGCAGGGGCAAGCCCACCCCCGCCCCCGTGGTGGCACCCGCTACCCCCTTCCGTGCGATGAAAATCCGCGAGGATGCCGTTCAGTCTGCTTGTCCGCGATTCGTTCGCGACGATGAACCTCGTCGTCGTTCTTTCCCTTCTTGTTTCCTTTCTCTTTCTTCTTCTTCTCCTCCTCCTCCCTCTCTTCCTCGCGATCTACATGCAACCACGCGGTCCAGAGGTTTTCCTCGGTTTCCACTCGTCCGCATTCGACGATTACGTCCCGCGTCGCGACGATCGGTCCACCTCGGCTCGTGCCGGCGTAGTGCCGTTTTGGCATCTATTATTGCGTCGCGCGTACCAGCCACGTGATGCTGCCCCCTTTGCGCTTGATGTTGCCGCCGCGATAGGCGATCGACTCCACCATGTGCTCGATCGACGGGCCGGACAATACTGTGTACTCTGTCCGCGCGCATTCCGCCATCATCGCGCGCCCCCCGAAACACAGCCGGTGCCGCGACCTGCGTCCCGGCGATGCTCCGCGCATCGACGTTGCCCGTCTCGCGGCATTCTCCGCTGTTTCCGCTTCCTCCTCCGCGTCCTCGCTATCTACTTCGACGTCCAGATAGCGCTCACAAGGCTACAGTGCGATCTGAAACAATCGAAGAATCCTACGATTGAATGGAGAAACTTTTCTCTTGTGTCTAATAAATATTGCATTTTCGCGCAGAAATCTATATATTTTTTCATTGCCATATATAGTTTCTCGATCTATAATTAAAATATTATAATTATTTAATTCAAAATTTTTATTTATTTTCCTAATTTATTTTTTTATAATTAATGTTTT